AATGATCAAATCTAGAATTAATATCAAATCTCTAAATTTTGGAAATAAAAATAAAAACAAAACAAAAGCATGAAAGAAAAGTTTTTATATTCTTTCATATTTAGTGTTCATCAAATTAATATGTCTTCGATTGAACACAACTCTGTTTGTTTAAAGATTAAAAAAATTGTAAAGAATTTCAACTAATTGTTGTCCATCAAATTTATAATTTTTACTTCAATTTAGTTTTTATTATAAAGAAAAGAAAAAATAGATTAAAAAAGACGAAGAAAATAAGAAGCCTCAGTTGCATTAAATTGTTAGTTAATTATATTTCAAGTGATTTACAAATCATAATTATAGTTTAACTCATGTAACAAATAGATATACATATTTACATGTTTCAGTTTAATCGGTTACAAAATCAAACCATATCCAAATTTTACAGTTTTTATAAAATCACATACATTCGGTTTGTATGGTATATACCAAAAATAACCATATTATCGATTGTGTTAATATCTTTAAAAAATAGAAAATTAAAAAAAAGAACTAATATTTAAATCATTGATAACAAAAATTTTCAATGTGAAAAATTTAATACGTTTATAATTTATAAATGTTCTTGAAAATTCATTGAAATTTTTGAAATTAAAATAAGTATGTAATCTTATATGGTATATAGTTTAATCTATATATATATATATATATATATATATATATATATATTTTTTTTTTTTATTATTGAATGTTACTTTTTACTCATATGGTTTTAAAATTGTGTGTATCTTTTTATAATAAAAATGTTAAACTATTGATCATTAATTTTTAACATAATAATTTTAATAGTTTTAGTCATTTATTGGTTTTTTTAAATTCAAAATATAACATATACGAAAAAAAATCTAAAGTTTAATTTTATAGCTAATTTGATTGTTTTCTTTAATAAAATTAAAGAAAAATGATGGAGGAGATACAAATTATTTTCAAATATTTATTATTAGAAACATTAATTGTCATATATATATTTGTCATTTATGGTAATTCGTAGCTTTTATTTAAGAAAGAAAATAAAATAATAATTATATCTACCAGGACAATCATAAATGCTTCTATTATAAATATCATATCATATAGTTTGACCAACAAATATACCTAGCGACATATAAAAATCGAAGGTGGACCTACTTATTTTTCAATTGAATGTAATTGACTACCTAATTGAGTGACACGTAAGCATGGGCTCTTTTTTAATTATTACAAAATTGAGGTTACAATTTTTCAAATGTTTCTCAATTAATATATAGGGGATTACATGATTTCAATCTATAGATTTTCAGCATTATACTTTTATTGTTGACTTTTTTGGTATATAAATCATATATACACTTTATAACCATATTCCAAACTATATTTCATACAATTACCCATATTTATAAACCATACTATATTTCATACATTTATATTGTATTATAGACCTTATATTACACGATTTCAATCTATAGATATCCAACATTATACTTTTTTTGGTTGACATTTTTTGGTATATGCATCATACATGGACTTTCTAAACTTTCATTTCATTTATATTGTGTTATAGACCTTCATTTCATGTTTTTCTTCATATATGAAATATGTTTTCATGTCTAACTAAATCTACATGTATTTATATACCATAGTTAGACGATATATAGTGATATCAACCAAAAAAGATATATCATCACTCTCATGTTGACATTTAAATGTTGAGATACGATTTGTTAAGAAAATATTACAAATACGGTTTTCTATAATTATCTTCCTACTAAAATAAAGAAATTACTTTACCTACAAGTTATAGATTAACCACAATCAATATCGTAGATTCCATAAATTTCGGTAACTTACCATAGTTGTATTACCATTAACTGTTAAACTTTAAACTTCCTAACTAATTCAAAATCTTCAAGAAATATTCCTTATTCCTTAAAAGAGATATTTTAAAAACTCGTATGAAATATTCTCCTCTACATTCGCGTAACCTAATTGTATATCGTCCCTACCTACTATAAATATAGCCTTTCTTAACCATTATATTTATCATCCCTTCAAAAACCTAAAACAAAAATGGCGAATAATTTGCAGTTGTCTTTCTTGAGCGATATAAAACCAAGGAAGACTGCTGTCCCATCCAAGTCAAAATCCTTCATATGTGGAGACATTTCATGAAAGACTAAGGGAGTCCATGGAACCAATCCTTTGTGATGCAAATGTAAATTTATCGTTTTGTATAGATTTTTGATTGAGATATCTTCATTTCGTTAAAGTTTAACCTAAATGATAATGTTTTATGTTTATATAGGGAAGTAAGATCCATGCCTCATGTAACAAGACATACATTCTTCGATTGGCAAAAGAAATTACTCAAATGCTTATGTTTTATTTTTGGTTATAAGTGAGGTCCAAATCTCAAATTCTTATGACGTAAGTTAGATGTTTGTTAATCCTGAAATACCAGAGACATATGAATTTAAACAACGGTATGTATCTTCTTCAACAAAAATGTTTTCACTTTATAATAGTATAAACTAAATTATAAAACTTATTTATAATCGCAGAGGTAATGATGATTCTCGAGCGTTAACCCTGGCTGAATCAAAATCGCAGAGGTAATGATGATTCTCCATTGATCTGTTTTAGGATTATGGTTGTTTAGAAGTAATGTTTTTAGTTATGTTTTGACAATCACGTGATGATGATTCTCGAGCGTTAATCTTGGCTAAATCAAAATCGCGTTTTGTTTTCACCTAATTTTCATTTTAAATAATATTTGCTTTTTTCTTGACGATTTATTGACTGATTTATTTATATGAAAATACATAATGTTGTATAAAACAAATCAATATACTATGATATAATAAACGAAAATCGATTTATACTATATTTGCTGCATATTGAAACAGAAAATAAGATACTTGGAATAACAAATCTCATTTGTTACTCCGGAATCTTGCAATATTTAAATTCTTCCTTATATACTTGGAGTTATATTTGACTCTCATAAAAAAATTATTTTTGAGTTACCTTTGACTCTCATAAATTAATTTAATATTTTATTTTATGGTCAACAAAAAAATACCCGCCCTTCTTAAGCGCGGATCAAAATTGAATATTATTTTTATTGTTCAAAAATCATAGATGTAATTATTTTAACTAAAATAAATAAACTATATAAGAAGCGCGGGTCAAAATTGAATATTATTTTTATTGTTCAAAAATCATAGATGTAATTATTTTAACTAACATAAATAAACTATATAAGAAGCGCGGGTCAAAATTGAATATTATTTTTATTGTTCAAAAATCATAAATGTAATTATTTTAACTAACATAAATAAACTATATAATTCGATTAACATATTTATTGGATTTAAGTACAAATTTGTAATACAATTTTGGGAATTTTCAATAGTATTGATTTTTCAAATTTACTATAGGCCATAGACCCATCCAATTTTGGATTCCATAAATTTTGGCAACTTACCGTAGTGGTATTATCATTAACTGTTAAACTTTAAACTTCTTAACTAATTCAAAATATCTTCAAAAATATTCTTATTCCTCAAAAGAGACATTTTTTTCAAATCGTCTAAATATTCTTCCCTACATTTATGTAACCTAAATATATATCGTCCCTACCTATTATAAATATAGCCTCTCTTAATCACTATATTTATCATTCCTTGAGAAAACTAAGGCTCTAACTGGTGACCATTAAAATAGGAATGAGTAGGAAAATAATAAGTACGAACAAAATAAAAGGAATGAAAAAAAAATATTTATTACTTTGGTTCCATATCAATTTTGATAAGGAATGTTTTTGTTCTATAATTCCTTAAAATTCAAGGAATGACAAGGAATCATACACATGATATATTCCTTATGAATGGTGTATTTTTAAGGAATAAGTAGGAATTGATTATTCCCCTTCGTTTCCTATGTTACCATTTAGACCCTAAACAAAAATGATGAATAATTTGCAGTTGTCTTTCTTGAGCGATATAAAACTGAGGAAGACTTCTTGTTGCATCCAAGTCAAAATCCTTCATACATAGAGACATTTCATGAAAGACATAGGGGAGACCATGGAACTAATCCTTTGTGATGCAAATGTAATTTTATCGTTTTGTATAGAGTTATGATTTAGATATCTTCGTTTTGTAAAAGTTTAACCTAAATGATAATGTTTTCTTTTTTTTTATAGATAAGAAACTAAGATCCATACCTCGTGTTACAAGGCATACATTCCTGAAATGGCAAAACATATTCGTGTTGGAGTATGGAGGAACATTGATCGTTTTAGTGTGTCTGCCGCTGGTGGATCATACAGATCTACTCAGCATAAGTATCGCGGGTCAAAATCTGATATGTGTTTTAGTATCTCGGCCATGGACCCATCCAAGCGCGGGTCAAAATATAATATGTGTTTTAATTTTTCATACTCTCACAATACTTATTTTTTTGATTCTCTGTTCAACCACAAACTAACTCGGTTATGCAAAACTCAATGAAAGGATCTTATTAAAACGTTAAATATACATCAAATTTCACATATAAAACTATCATATAATAAAAATAGAATCATTTGATACATTTTGTTACAACCAAAATAAAATCTGCGCTTCTCAAACGCGGATTAAAATCTAATACTTGAGTATTAAAACGATTTCAAATACTCGGGGAATTAAATGTTCATTTTCCCGTTTTTCTCCCTAAGTTTTTATTACACGAACAACAGACAACCCAAAGATTGTTCCATTGCCTTTAAACGAATCCGAAACAACGAAAGAAGCATTTTTTTTCCGCATTTCAATCAATCAACAATCCAATTCCATGGTGAGTGTGCTCTCTCGTAGCTTCTCCGTTAGATGATTTGTATAAGTTCGATAGCTTGTTTTGTTTTGTTTTAAATTAGTTGCTAAAGGCCTGTACTTTATCATATTATTATAGGCTCTCGGAGAATACTTGCGCAGTTCATTGTGATGGGTTCTGGGATATTGGGTCGTGCTTTCTTTCAAGCTTATCATCAGGCCATTGCTAGTATGTTTCTTTCAACACTTCTTTTATTACATGACAATCAACATCAAGCGATCTCTTAGCTTAGGAAGAATCTGTTTTTCTGTTGACACTACAGATTTGGTTTTACTAATTGCATTCTCACTCTCTGATTCTATTACAACGGTTTATATGTTCCCCAGACAGATTGCTTGTTTAGTTGAGTTATGTGTGTGTCTTTGTTAGCTTTATAAATCTAATGATGGCTTGCTCTCTTAGGAAGATCTGTTTTTCAATTGATAGATATTTTTTTCTCACAGCTCCTGGATATTTGTTACTACTTTTAGAACGGTTTTATATGTTTTGTCTTTGATTCTACTATATTGAATCGGTGATTATGACAAGGTGTTGTGTCTCTTTGTATTGAACTGAAGCCTGTCTTATTTTTGCAGATGCGTCTAAAACTGGTGTTGCGCAGGAAGCGATGCAAAATGCAGTACGTAAAGCAGGGAAAAGCCATTAATGAGCAAGAGGCTAGGCAGATTCTCGTTGTAACCGAGCAGACCTCTTGGGAAGAGATCTTACAGGTAAAAGCATTTCTCTCTGTGTCATCGTCCCTCTAATCTGAAACTATATCAAGGGAAATAACTAATAAGGAGTTTTTTGGTTTATATATTTGAATGCAGAAATACGATAAGCTGTTTGAGAATAACGCTAAAGCTGGGAGCTTTTACCTTCAATCTAAAGTTCTTCGAGCTAAAGAATGCCTTGAAGTTGTGTACAGGAGCAACGGTACATCTAGTTAAGTCATTTAATCTTTCTTTTTCTAGAGATTTAGAATTCTTGCTCTTTATGTAAAAATCAAAGACTATAACACTCTTCTTTGAGAGGATGTGTAACTTTAAAGAACGGACATAGTTTTCTTTCACCCATTTTTTGATCAGTAGTGTCAAAGAACCTCGTAAACTTGGAATAGATTGTTCTATGCGTGTATGCTGTGTATTTTTCTCTCCTTAAGAGTTTTTTTTTTTGTATGTTTTTGGTTCAGATGTGAGGCTGAGATGAATCTATAGTTTGTTATGTATATATAATCACTTCAGCGTTTGAGTGTGGCTTATGTAAATGATTGAGAGATCTGAATCTCAGATTATGTATAGGTGTGAATGTATTAAGTTATGGGATGTAGTGTTAAGTGTTAAATGTATTAGTGTGAAGAACACGAATTCGACTTTGATGAGCAGAGATTCGACTTTTTAGACTTAGTTGTAACAGAATCTCAAGTCTTATCAACTTTCATTAAGTGATGATTTAAGCTACATTGATCTCATCTTGAAAGTGAAATGAAGAAAACAAAACCCAAATAAATCATATGGTTTTTGTTTACAAACTCTTTGGACTGTGACCTCTAGCTACTCTTAGCTATCTCAAATCCATTCTTAGCATTCTGATAGTCTTCATAAGCCGTATCAATCTCGGCTTGAGAACTCATCACAAACGGACCACTTTGAATCAGAGGCTCACCAATCGGCTCCCCTGCAATCAACAAAAACCTCAATGACCTAGAACTTGACTTGTTCCACACGCTAACTAACTCCCCCGGTCCAAACACAACAACATGGTGCGCAGAAATAGAAGAAGAGTCCAAGGAGCTGAACACGCCTTCATCTCCTTCTAAAATGTAGGCGAAAGCTGTCCAAGACTCTGGAACGGTCTGATGGGTTTGAGAACCTGGCTTGAGGGTGAAGTCAAGGTACATCATTGGTGTTGCTGTGTGGAAAGGAGATTTGATTCCCATTGAATCTCCTGCTATGACTTTGACTTCAACTCCATCTTCCTCAGCTCTTGGAATCTCTGAACCAGACAGTTCTATGTTTTTTGGTTCAATCCTGTGGAAAACAACACAAGGTAAGATATCTCAAGATGAACAGAGGATAATAAAGAAACTTGTCTCTTTTACATTCTGTGAATAGAAGGAAGGTTGATCCAAAGCTGTAAGCCATTGTTGACTTCTTGTTCCGGATATTCGGAATGAATGATTCCTCTTCCTGCTGTCATCCACTAACAAATCAAAAGCCAAAGTTGAGTTAGACCAGAACATTAGAATCAAGATTCAAGAATTCAAGATTCAATATCTGATGTGCAGTGCTTAGTGTTTTTTTTTTTCTTAAATTTTACCTGAACATCCCCGGCTTTGATTGTACTTGTATGACCTTTAATATCTTTGTGAATGATACCTCCCTGCATAAATTGTAAAATAAATTTGAAATTCACTAGAATCAAGATTCAAGAATCAAATCTATGAAGATGAAAGAATCTTTGTCTCACCTGTAGCACGTAAGTAACACTTTCAAAACCTGCACAGAGTTGATACAACTACATAAGAGTCATTACAGAACAGAGTAGACTTTGTGTATATGCGTGTGTAAGAAGTTATCTATGATATTAACCTCTGTGAGGATGATCTGGGTATCCAACTGAAAGCGAAACTGATCAAGAAACAGAACACATAAATGACTGCTTCAGATTATTATCTATATATAAGCATGTAATCATGAATAAAACATATTTGTGGAAAGCAGAAATTTACAAGAAAATTCAACTAATAACACGAACGGGTCCAGTAACTTCTGATCCATCCTGAGTTAACCACACAAGAGAAAAAAATGAAAATTTACGGTAAAGCTACTGGATTTGCATGAAGCAAAAGATATTTTAGAAAAGAAGAATATAAAACTTACTCTGTGATGGCGTTTCTAACGAGAGCACCTTCTCCTTCTTCCTGTAGCTTTACAAAAAAATTCTTGATTACCTGTCTCGTTACTCTATTATCGTCGGAAGAAGGAGACATTGTGATCGATGATGATTATAAACTTTTGTTACTCTGTCTTCTTCTTACTAATATGTGGTGTGTGTGTGTGTGTGTGTGTGTGTGTGTGTCAGTGTATATGTATTATATATATAGAGAAAGAGAGGTGCAGAGTATCAACTTGAACTGGAAGTTGTAGGTGAAAGTGAATTCATTCACATCTATTTTTTCTCGCCACTCTATGCAATAGGTTTATCATTTATGATGGTTTAAAACACATGCAGAAAAAGAAAAACTTAAATAATAAATACTATCATATTAATGTAAATATGATAACAAATGTAATTTGATATGTGGCTCATAACCCGTAATGTCTCAACTCTTGAAGTGCCGGTAATGGTTTGACCACGATTAAAAATGTATTTTTGATTGCATGTTCACACTACATTTAAATATATATAGTAATACATAAATAATGTATTTCAACCGACTGGAACATAACTTTTTAATTAATTGAAACGAATAATATTTTAAAGATAAGCTGTTCGTTGGCTGCTAAAACAGCTAATGAAGACAATTTTTTAAAAAAAATTCCATTTGTCAATAGTCAGGCTAATAAACAATACAGATATTTAATATTATCAAACTATACATCAACCACATTAAGAGTTGTCTTATATAAAAAATGGTGGATGATTTGATGTCGGCTCCAAGTATGAACACGTCTGCATTTTTATTCAATGAATATAAATCACCTTAGATATCATTTTATGATTATTTAACCTAATAAAATAATCGAAACATATTTTGAGCTTGTGCATATTGATCTTGAGACTTCTTGCGGTTGAAGGGAAACTGGCATCTTCTTAAGAGATACAAAACTTCTGCCTCAGGAAAGAAATGTTTCAAAACTTTAAAAGCAAGCAATGAGAACACTGTATATTCACGATATGATCTGATGGGACCATAGCACACAACTTGGTTACTTAACATATTGATAGTTATTGATTCTTGATGTGTGAAAAGGTGAGAACAAAAGAAGAATTCACTTTTTTTTAGGTGTACTGAATCTAGTTAGAAAGTCAAAGACTTTTCTGCAACTATCTATGGGTACTTTTCTCTCTCCCCCCACTGCCCTCTCTATAACACTACTATTCTACTAATGCAAATCTATAGAGAGAGGGAGACATGTGTGCATGTATATGCAGAGAGAGAGAGAGAGAATGTGAACATCGATTTTATATTGATTCGATTTTATTTAGAATCTTCTGTTAATCCTGATGGGCATAATGGCCCACCCTTTCCACATGTTTCTCTAGTTTTGGCATAAGAACACTAACCAAATCGTTTGGTTTCTCACCTATTAGGTTCATGATTTAGTTTCTTTATGAGACGGAAACAGAGAATGTCATTCATTCACACCCCTCAACAACTCCAGCATTACAAGAAGAATCATATGAAGTGAAATAGAAATAGCTTGAGAGCAAAAGAACCATAAGATAACACTGACTTGTATGGCTAGTTAGACTTTCCAGATCTGAAGCTCTTGAGGATTTTCTTTAGTTTCTACTACATTCAACATTTAAATAACAGAAGATACAAAACAAACACATGAACTTAACATTACTCACAAGAATGCTAAGCATCAATGGCCCAAGATTTCCACTTATTTCTCAAATATTTGGCCCAAGAACACTAACCTAACATTGCTTGGGTTCCCACTCTAGCTGTTACATCATGGTTGACTTTCTTTACCAGACAAATATAGAGAATGCACAAGCACTAGCTACAAGAAAATCATATGAAGTCCAACAGCTTGGATACAAGTTAGGCCTCATTTTTAGTTTCTTCTACACTCAACACTGAACACAACAGACATGAGACAAGACACAAAACAAAACATGAAACGCATAAAATCATCGACACACAAGGATGCCAAGCAGCAGATTAAAAACATGAGAATCTTTATTTGAGGGCATCCTCAGTTTGAAAAAGAAGAGAAAACATCAGAACAAATATCTCTAGCCTCCGAATGGTAAAAGATGCATGAACACATACATGAGAATACCAGAAAGGTTCTTCTAGAGGAGCAGTTTCCCAAGTTCCATCGATAAAGAAGTAGGCACAACAGTTGAAAGGCTGATGTTATCGGAGACTACTTGGAAATTGCACTTGGGTGAAGCTACTTTCTCAAGCATCTGAAGTCGGCTTGATACGTCAGCCACATAACAATCACTTGGTGAATTGTAATATATGATGAGTTGTTCAAGATTTGGCATTTTCTTCAAGAAATGCTTGATGATGTCTATGTCTCCATCAATGAATCATCATCATAGGCTTCTCCAAAAATCGATACAGTCAGAAACTTTTTTTGGTGTAAATACAGCCAGAAACTTTACAGGACATTGTGATAGAGAAGAATGGTTTTATGATTATTTGCATATTTATGTAACAAAATTTTACACCGACGATTTTTTTTTTAACGTGGAATGTTTAGTGGTTTCAATAATTTATAATCATTTAAAAAATAATAAATATTTCAAAATTAAAATATTAAAATTTCAATATATGTTCAATGTAATTATCAAAATATAAATATGTATTTTCATATGATGTATAGTTTAGTTAATTTAAACGATATGAAATATATATATATATATAGTAACATAAACACATAATAAAATAAAATTACTTATTCATATGATTTTATAATTATTTTATCTTATTATAGAAAAAATTAAACCTTGATCACAAAAATTTATTTGAGATTTTTAACAGTTTTAGTAATTTATACTCATTTTGGAAAATTCAAAATACAACATATACAAAAAATCTAAATTTTTATTATATGACTAATGTAATTATATAATTTATTTTAATAATAAATAATTAAAAAAATGATAGAAAGTATACAAATTGTTAGCAAATCTTTACTATTTTAAAATCATTTATTCCCTTATATCTTAAACACCTTAATTAATTCCATAGTTTTTATTTAAAGAAAAAATATATAATAAATTTCAATTTGATAAATGACTGGTCCATAATGGATATACTATATAATATAACATTCCCTAGCAATTTAATTTTGGACTAACAAAATTCTCAATCGATTCTCAAACTGCTACATAAGCAAGATTAGCATTCCAAATATGTAATAACTCAATAGGACATTTTTTTAATTAGTATAAACTATAAATTATAATTTTTAAATGTTTCTCTTAGGCCAAATTGTTAACAATAAGATAAAATAATATATGGGAGATTTTATTAGGCCAAATTAATGGCCCTGTACTCTTTCTAGATGTTTCTCTAGTTTTGGCACAAGAACACTGACCAAATCGTTTGGTTTCTCACCAATTAGGTTCTTGGGTATACATTCACACCATTCACAAAGAAGAATCATATGAAGTGAAATAGTTTGAGAGAAATGGAGATTCTATTATTGTTTTTCTTCTTCCATTAAATAAAAACCATAAGATAACACTAACTTGTATAGCAAGTTAAGTTTTCCAAATCTGAGGCTCTTCGAGATTTTGTTAATGCCTCATTTTTAGTTTATTCTCCACTCAATATTAAACACAACAGAAGATACAAGAACAAAACATGAAACACAACCTTTTCACAATAAAATCATAGACACACAAAAGATGCCAAGCAGCAGAACATAGAGAATCTTTATTTTAGGCATCCTGATCAGTTTGAAAAAGAAGAGAAAAACGCATAAAATACACGGATACTTGTAGCCAAGACACATAACCATTGCCTCTGAATGGTAAAAGAGGCATGGCCACATGCATGAGAAAGCCAGAAAGGTTCTTCTAGAGGTGCATTTGCTCAAATTATTCATAGATTACTTGGATCGTAATGCCCTTTCGGGAAGCTATTTCCTCAAGCTTCTGAAGTCGGCTTGATACTACAGCCAGATGATCATCGGGTTGTGAATTAGACCATATGGTAAGACGTTCAAGATTTGGCATTTCCTCCAAGAAATACTTGACATTCTTCATCTTTGTCTTCATCTCGCTTTCGTCATCATCCGAATCATAGGCTTCTCCAAAAGTTATCCCTAGAAACCTCACTGAACACTGTGATAGAGAAGAATGATTTTCCACCGAACCATTGCGGCATAAGCACAAACTCCCACATCCATCTGCATCGCGGTGAGCGAGTCCCTAAGACATACAAAAAAAAAACATCTCAAAGTTTATTTTATGTAAAATAATTTTTTTTCACACATCATCCCACATCTAGTTGCTTACTTCGAAGAAAAGGGCTTCAAGATTTGGAGAATTCATGAGCATTTGTGGCAGCGCTTTCCATCCTACTAATGGGTTATGCGAGTCAATAGTAAGATGGTTCAAGTTGTAGAATATCGGTATCGCTTCACAGCAAAAGTTAAGCGTCTGAAACAAAAGAAAAAGTCAACAAGATTCAATCAGTAATGATAATTAGCTAAATCTCTCAAGTAATGTTAGGTTTTCATATTACCTCAAGAGTGTTGTGGGATATGTAAAGGGTCTCCACGTTGTATATTCCCATGAGAAGCACCTTTACGTTACCAGACACGTCCATTTCCTCCTCACTATCCGATCCACATCTAAAATCGCCTTTCTGATTGTATGTCATCTTAATATCGATATAAGCTTCAACCAGTGAATCGAAATTCAGTACTGGATACTTGTATGCAATATAATCAGAATATCCAAAGCAGACAACTTTCGGAGTATCAAATGATACACTCTTGGGGTTATTAGAGCTTTCGCTCCAAAGGATCAGTCTCTTGAGGGTTTTGGAAGACACAAAGCAAGAATCCCAATCACTCCACTTAAGATTACGCAAATCCAACTCCTCAAGCACCTCACAACCAGAAAGAAGATTTGCAAACCCCATCTCATCGTTTTCAAGCTCAAATGACTCTAGACTCAGAGTCTTGAGCTTTGGAAGATTAACGTGTCCCAGTTCACAACTGGGACCCCCTTTAGGTCCTATTGTCAGCCTAACCAGGTTCTTATTGACAAAAATCTCTGGGGGCAAGGGATCATAAATTTCGGGAGATATATGTAGAGCAAGATCTGTTACACCAAGTTTCAACACCTTTGATAGAGACCTCAAACCCCCAAATAGGTTCTCCACATTTTAGAGAGAATTTGTTAACATGATCTTCCCCTCAAATACTCTATCCACAAAATTTTACAAAACTCCTCTTGTCTTGGGGATCCAGAGAGTAAGAGTCATCGAAATCAAGATCCGGTATACGAGCAAACAGATACCGCCACTTTTTTGAGACAAGTGATGTCGAACCGGCTTCTTTCATAGGCAGTTTGGACAATATTTGGTGAAGAAGACATTCTGTTAGAGGCAGGTCGCTGATAAAATCCTTAGGACAATCATCCATGTTTTTTAGATGAAAAAATATCTATTCAGCAAGAAGATCTAAGTAGTGAAAGTAATATTTGTTTATGTATTTTAATTGATTTGAAAATCATATTAATTAAATGCTGTTAATTTTTTTTTAAATCTAAAATATGAATTTTAATTAGTATATGTATAAATCCGGAGGTGTTTCTTTTTATTTGAGTCTTTTTGTTTTAAAAACAAAATCTTTTTAAATTCACACAAATTATTTGTAAAAGCAAATTCACTAATAGATCCACATGATTGAATAATACATGATTTAGATTATGATTTATAAATCATACTCACCTATAGCACATAAATTTAACATGAAATTATCGAAAGAATAATACTTGATTTTGTTTAGATTTAAAAAATGCATCAAATATTCAAACCAATAACTACAAGTACAAAATGAATACATGTTCCAAGCTCCAAATCAAGAAACTTTTCTTTCTTACACAATCGGCAATCCTATAAGGTTTTGTTAGGATTCACGAGAAAATTAAAGTAGATGAAGTCACAAAATAAATTACGATCCTATGAGAACACAAGGTCAAACAAAGAGATGAGAAAGCTTACTTGCTTTAGATGAAAAGGCTGAGTCCATCAAGATCACCCTTGAACTTCAGTGAGACGGTGATGTTTTCATTAGGGGTGTGGATGGAGAAAATTAAGAGGATGTTATTTACGCATTCTTTTGCCAAAAAGTGATGTAGCAATTTGGTATTTAAAAATGTTTTGTAAGACATGAAAAAAGTAAAAGCTATGTACAAAACGCGCATTCTTTTTTATTTTTTTATTTTTTTGCTCAACATCAACATTCATTTCACCAAGTTTTTGGATACAAGATTAGACCACCAAAGACTTATACCACTTATACATTGAGGCAATCTAGTATGACCCTGGATCACTTGATTGGATCCAACGCTACCTGACCAAGACCTCAATGTATATTAAACCACAGTGAGCGTGAGATCACTCCACAACTCGGAATAATCCACCTCTTCAACCACCTAATTCTACCACATTGGTACAACAACGTTTACTAACACACGAGAGCTAAGAACATACTCGAAACTGATTATAACCTAGCTAAGCGATCCTAATGATTCACATTCAAAGCTCATGACCCATTAGCCTCATCTATGAAGATGCATTCACGAGAAGGCCTCACCCTCATTGTCTTCAACCGTTGTGACCCTAAGTCTAAAACGGACAGTAAGTCCGACTGAAGATCGGGTTTCAGCAACACAGAACACGGGTCGATCCTAGCTAAATCGAGCTTTCAAAGAAGCAGAGCTCATACCATCGGTTCAGACATTCAGCGCTGGGTATAAAGCCACCACCACGAACCTCCGCTAGAATAACATCCGCTTGACCCCTCCATCAGCGAAAACCATGATTCGTGTGATTCACGATAAGCGGAAAAACATACCATGTCCACTCGCCGTCAAAACTTTCCTCCTCCAGCCAATCTGTCACTAAGGGACGTAGATCGATGATGGAGAAGACGCCTTTCGAAGCCACGCGCCGTTGCTGAGTCGGAGAAGTCGAAGATCTGAAAAGGGGGAAAAAACAGATCCCGACCTCCGTAAACCCTAAAAGCCGACTTCCTTCCTCGCCACTGTCTCATTAGCCTCGCCGCTACTCCAGATCTGGCCAGGACTTTCACCATCGTCACGAAACGCAACACTAGCTTCAATTCCTGATCCAGAGCATCGCGCATATCGATCAAGATCCAGCGGAGCAGAAGAAAGTAAAAGTAAAAAAAGAGAAAAGGAGAAGAAAGGGCGCCTCCGGCACCGGATAAGCCGGGCCGGAGCTAGGGTTTTCTGGGAGTTGGTTAAGAGAGAGGCTGGAGCGCTTGTTTTTAACCTTTTTGTGTACAAAACGCACATTCAAAGGCTAAAAGACTTTGCTTTGTTGCATATCATTAGACATAATGTTTGTACTGTAATCTTGTTTAGTTGAAAAAAAGTTTTTCAGTTTCAACATTACCTAGCTAGTCAAACAACCTTTTTTTTTTAACAACAACCCATTATCCCATCAAACACACACATTATCAAAAGAGAGATGCGCATGTCTATTAAAAAGACTGTTTAATTTATTAAATATATTACTGTAGAAAGAAAGAAAGGATGTTAAAAAATAGTTAAGCTGTGGAAAAAATAAATTAAGTTACGGAAAAATTTAAAATTTGTGGAAGGGTGGAATGCATTTTAGATTGTTTAAAATATTTTATATGGTATTTATTTTATTATAAGAAAAAAATATTAAAATTTATTAAAAATACTTTAATTTTTATTATAATATTTAGCTTAGTTTTCAATATGTTTTTAATAACAGATTGGCATCTTATAATATTTATAAAATAAATTATAATATAAATTTATGTACAGCATAATTATTTATTACTTAAAAAAGTTATTACTATTTATTTAAAATTTTAAAATGGGATTATTATTATATAATTCAATACATGAGAGTATTTATTTGTAAAGAATTTATTAAATTTCATTTTTCCACTGAATACAACTTTTTTTGTATTTATGTAAGCAAGTGTGTGTTTTCGCATTTTTTTTCATTTCACAATTTTTTTAATTGTCAAAAATACTTGCAGAATCGCAAAAAATACCAAAATACATACGGAATCGTGAAAAATGCCATTTCGCATGGTTACCAATCACAACCTTTGATTTGTTGCATATCTTCAAACATAATGCTTGTACTATAATCTCGTTTAGTTGAAAAGAAGTTTTCAGTTTCAACATTACCTAGCTAATCAAACAACCTTTTTTTTAACAACAACCCATTATCCCTTCAAACACACATTTTCAAAAGAGGGATGCACATGCTAATAGAAAAGGAGTGTTTAAAGTGTATATATATATATATATATATATGTCAAGAAATAAATATAAGAAGATAAAGGATGTTAAAATATGTGTTAAAATATAAAGGATGTTAAGATAAAGGATATAAGAAATATATATCAAGAAATAAATATATATGTCAAGAAATAAATATAAGAAATAAATATATATGTCAAGTATTATTTTCCTTTTTATTGTGGAAAGAAATAAAGGATGTTAAAATATGTCAAGGAGAAAGAAAATGGGAACATAATTTTTATTTTTATTTACATCTTCACAAAATATAAGAAGATGCCTCAACAGCCCATCATTGTTGCATTTTCTCTAGTTTTGGGCGAAAACACTTCACCAAACATCTTCACCTCACCGATCTGATAGCATCAATCCTTAACTAGTCTCTGATGCCTTGCTTCTTGTTGATTCTCCAAGTACGGCTATTAAACTATTGACTACATGACAAAGGTTTGGAGAAGACAAGACACTTGTATATTTGCTTGCATAGGAAAAAAGGAGATTAAAATCCACACCATATTTGATCATTTAAGATTTGGCGATTCCGAGTACTAGGATCTGTACAAAGAGTAAAACTCAGAAACAACTGATTCATATACACTACTAAGATAGTAAACTTGGGACGAAGTGATCAAGCACTTTGTTTCATGACTTGGAGCTTGCATTTGGATGAAGCTCTGGGAAGATGCAAAAGATCATTCACCAGACGAAGTCTCTCTCCATCATCAGCTACTTTATGAGTAACCCTAACCATTTCAAGATGCGTTAATTTCCCCAAGAAACACTCCATTTGAGCAAGTTCTTCACCAGTTCCTTCATACCCAGTGATCTTTAAAACCTTCACTTCGGATGATGACAGAGCATCAGGCATATCATCCAATGATAAACGTAGGCTCAACCCAACCTCCCATCCTTTTTTAACATAGTGCACTAGACCCTGAAAACACACGTTGGGACATTAATATCATTATAGATCAGGAATTAATACATGACCCTTTTTGCATCATACATACCTTGATGATTAGGGTTTGTAGATTTGGTGCCTTGAGTAGCAGAGATGGAAGCAATTTCCAGAAGATGTATGGAGTGCCATGAGGTTTATCACTTCCTAGAGACAAGCTAATCAGATTGTTGAATACTGGTATTTCATCACCACGGTAATAAAGCGTCTGCAACACACACACACACACACTAACCAATAAAGAACAAACGCTACACAATCAGGAAGCAACTAAAAAGGGACTGGACTCACATCTAAAGCATCTGGAGATAAGCAGAGGATCTTGACATTTCTGATTCCCTTGAACAAGACTGAAACATCACCAGGAACAAAACCAACATCATCTGGACCACTCATGCGCATGATTTGATTTGCAGTCAACAGAAGATCAAGCCTAGCTTCAACCAAGCTGTCAAAACGCAGATTCTCATACTTATCAGCAACCACATCAGAATACTCCAAGTAAACAAGACCCGGAGTATCAAACGTAACACATGGCTTAGGACCAGAAGTATCATCATCACGTCTGTACACAAATCTCTTAAGAGTTTGACTTGAAACAGACCCATCCCAACAGTACCATCCCTTGGACTCATGTATCCTCAGGTCTTGAAGGTTAGGGAAAGCTGTTAGAATCGCTACGCAACCAGGCTTACCATCAGTAAACTTAGCAGAGTCAAGAAAGAGAGATTTAAGTAGAGGAGAGACGAAATCTGGAGGAGAAGTGGGTCCTTGAGTAAGGCAGACTCTTCGGATCCTAAGGTTTACAAGTGACTTGCTCTCAAAGAGAGAGACCAGAAAACTAATGGACTTGAAATTCAGGTCATCAAAGATTAGAGAAAGTTCCAAGGCACCAAGTTCCATTACTTTTTTAATCCACCAAACTACTCGAAGAAAAGTTTCATGAGGACCTAAATGAGTTAACTTGAAAGAGACTCTCTTCACAGGAGACGAGTTCTTGTCTCGCCCCCACAGTGCCCTTCCCACGAACTTGTTGAAAATCTCAATTTGGCCATCACCCATTTTGCGGTTTTGCAACAAAGAGTCGTCAAAATCGAGGGTAGGTACCAGGTGAAGCAGATTCGACCATCTCTTTGACAGAACCTGTGTTAAAGCAACCTCCTTTGTCGTCAGGAAAGACAAGATGTGGCAGAGAATGTCGTCTGGTAAAGTGCTGATCACGTCTCTGGAACTTGGTTTCGGTTGCTTGTTGCTTTCCATTTCAGGAGAATGATCCGACCCAAATGGGTTAGAAAGTGACTAAAGGAGGCGACTTTTGAGTACTTTAAGAGGAAGCCATGAAAGAAAGTGAGACCCAGACCTCCTAACTTCCAATGTGATGACTGAATAGCTCTTCAGATTCTTGGAGATTTAGGGGAGAAGATGAGATTAGGGTTTAAGATGACAACTGGATTGTAATCTGGAGTGTGATCTTACACAAAGGAATGTTTCATCACACTAAATGCAATCGGGTGGGTCTAAGTTATATTGGGCCATTGAGCCTTTGGGCCTACTGTGTAATGAGATCTATATATAATAATAGTAAACTGAAAATAACATCAACATTTTTTTATAAGAAAAAAAAAAATTAATCTAATGGTCATAGTTAACTTGATTTTAAGATCTAATGGACCAAAAAAAATCTTTTCATATGATTGATGATGTCATCAAATATTTGACACCTCTTCGTTGAAAATTCATATATTTCATTTTAATAGCCACAATTATATTTGTCATACATTTTCATAAGTTTAAATATTAATATTGACTTTTTAGAAGATAATATTTGTATGTGTCGTGACCGAAGAGGTATAAACGTATCGTGATTCAAAAGGTACGAACATGTCGTGACCCAAGAGGTACAAATGTGTCGTGACCCAAGAGGTACAAATGTGTCATGAACCAAGAGGTACGAACGTGCCGTGACCCAAGAGGTGCGAACGTATCGAAACCGAAATGGTGCGAACCTGACGGGACCGAAAGGGTGCGAATGTATCGGGACCGAAAGGGTGCGAACGTGTCGGTACCGAAAGGGTGCGAACGTGTCGGTACCGAAAGGGTGCGAACATGACGGGACCGAAAGGGTGCGAACGTGTCGGGACCGAAAGGGTGCGAACGTGTCGGGACCGAAAGGGTGCGAACGTATCGGTTCCGAAAGGGTGTGAGCATGTTGGTACCGAAAGGTTGCGAACGTGTCAGGACGGTTCGAGACCGAAAGGGTGCGAACGGTTCGGGACCGAAAGGATGCGAACGGTTCGGGACCGAAAGGGTGCGAACGGTTCGGGACCGAAAGGGTGCGAACGGTTCGGGACCGAAAGGGTGCGAACGGTTCGGGACCGAAAGGGTGCGAACGGTTCGGGACCGAAAGGGTGCGAACGGTTCGGCACCGAAAGGGTGCGAACGGTTCGGCACCGAAAGGGTACGAACGGTTCGGCACCGAAAGGGTGCAAACGGTTCGGCACCGAAAGGGTGCGAATGGTTCGGCACCAAAAGGGTGCGAGTGATTCGGGATCGAAAAGGTGTGAATGTAACGTCACCGAAAGGGTGCAAATGGAACGTCACCGAAAGGGTGCGAATGTAACATCACCAAAATGGTGAGAATGTAACGTCATCATAAAGGTGTGAATATAACATCACCGAAAGGGTGCGAACATAATGTTACCAAAAGTGAACGAACATAATATCATTGATACTTATGGATGCAAGTCATTAGAGTTAAGGCCGAGCCATCATGAGTGGTAAACATATTGTTCATGGTCGGGTGCTATGGACTATGATCCATGATATGGATCGATGGCTCAAAAAGAAGTGTATATGAAACAGCCTTAAAGTTCTATTGTACCTTGTAATAAGTATAAAAATATATACATTCATATGTATGGTAATGAAAGCACATAGACACTAACATCAATTTTTTTTTTTTTTGAAAAATGGAAAGGCATGACTCCTGATGATAAATACTACACACCTATAGAAATGAATATACAATCCAAGGTGTATCGTGTTAAACAAATTATGGAACTACTTTATAAGTTTGCATGCCAAATTTAAATGCAAACCATTTTTAAAATTAAATATAAAAATAATCAGAGAAGGTTAATTATTTATTTGTTTCCTAAAAAGATACTTTTAAGGGTATATAACAAATCATAAAATATATTTTTCAAAAATACTCCACATTTCATTTTATTTGGCATTCACAACCTTTCACATTAATTGAGATTTTTATTAAGATACACAACTTTTTATTTTATTTGGCATCACAATCTTTAGAATTAATTGAGATTTTTGTTAAGATACACAGCCTTTCATTTTATTTATTAAAAAACACAACTTTTTTTTTTTTTTTTTAAAGAGACACAACTTTCCATTTTATTTTGCCTTTACAATATTTCACATTAATAGGCGTTTTTATTAAGAATTACAACTTTTCATGTTATTTGGCATTCACAACCTCTGGAATTAATTGAGATTTTTATTAAGATACACAACTTTAGAATTAATTGGTATTTTTATTAAGACACACAATCATTCATTTTATTTATTAAGAGACACAACTTTTCATTTTATTTTATTGAGAGACACAACCTTTCATTTTAGTTATTAAGAGAAATAACTTTCATTTTATTTTACATTTACAACATTTCACATGAATTGATATTTTTATTAAGAGTCACAACATTTCATCTTGATTGACATTCACAACTTTTAGAATTAATTGGGATTTTTATTAAGATACACAATTTTTATTTTATTTGACATTCACAACCTTTAGAATTAGTTGAGATTTTTATTAAGTGACAACCTCTCATTTTATTTATTAAGAGACACAATCTTTCAGTTATTTATTTAAAGAGACACAACTTTTCATTTTATTTTGTATTTTCAACCTTTCACACTAATAGACATTTTTATTAAGAGTCTCAATTTTTTTTTATTTGGCATTCACAGACTTTTAAATTAATCAAGATTTTTATAATAAGTAGATTTTTATTATGAGAAGACACAACTCTTATAACTATTTTAAATATTTTTAAAGTATTTTTTCTGAGACACAATTATTTTTATAATGAAAAGATGCAACTTTTAAACTAATATATTTCATTTTTTATGAAGAGATATAACCTTTCAAAAATTGTTATTATGAGAAGACACAATTCTTACAACCTATTTTAAATACTTTTAAACTATTTTTTATGAGACACAAACTTTTTTTATAATGAAAAAGATGCAATTTTAAAAATAATAGAAATTATTTTATAAAAAAAAAAACACAATTCTATTTATAACAAAAAGATGCAACTTTTAAACTTATATATTTTAGTTCTTATGAAAACATACACAATCTTTAAAACTAATATATTTCAGTTCTTTAAATAGACACAACTTTTCATTTTACTTTGTATTTTCAACCTTTCACACTTATAGAAATTTTTATAAAGAGTCTCAATTTTCTCTTTATTCGGCATTCACAGCCTTTGAAATTAATCAAGATTGTTTAATTAGTATATTTTTATTATGAGAAGACGCAACTCTTATAACTATTTTAAACATTTTTAAATTATTTTTTCTGAGACACAATTGTTTTTATAATGAAAAGATACAACTTTTAAACTAATATATTTCAGTTCTTATAAAAAGATACAAGCTTTCAACAATTGTTTTGTTTTTCATATAATGGTCCAAATAAAATTTTTATGCAACTTTTAAAATAATAGATTTTTTTTAAATACAAAATTATTTTTATAATGAAAAGATTCAATGTTTAAACTAATATATTTAAGTTTTTTTTTATGAAAAGATACAACCTTTCAACAATTGTTATTTTGAGAAGACACAATTCTTATACTCTCTTTTAAATACTTTTAAACTATTTTATCTGAAACATAAACTTTGTTTAGTAATGAAAAGATGCAACTTTTAAACTAATATAATTCGGTTCTTATGAAAAGATACAANTAAGTTTTTTTTTATGAAAAGATACAACCTTTCAACAATTGTTATTTTGAGAAGACACAATTCTTATACTCTCTTTTAAATACTTTTAAACTATTTTATCTGAAACATAAACTTTGTTTAGTAATGAAAAGATGCAACTTTTAAACTAATATAATTCGGTTCTTATGAAAAGATACAACCTTTCAACAATTTTTTTTTTTTTGAAAATACACAATTATTTTTATAATGAAAGATGCAACTTTTAAACTAATATATTTCAGTTTATTATGAAAAGATACAATTTTTCAACCATTGTTTTGTTTTTCATGCAATTGTCCTAAGAAATGTTTTTTTAGACATACGATATTTATGGCATTAACATATATTCTTTTCAAACAACACATCTTTTTACATGAAAGAGTCATACTTTTTCATATTTGAAGGATTACAATCTTTGGTTATAATTGTTTTTTTTTCTTCTATTGGTCTTAATAATTTTTTTATACTTAAACTAAAATTGCTATGAGCAGTTTTTTTTTTTTCAAACAACACATCTCTTTAATTTGAAGAGTCATACTTTTCGCTAATTCTTGATTTTTAAATTTTTTTTTGAAGAGTTTCAGTCTCGTGGTTGTAATTATTATGGTTCTATCTAATGGTCCTGAAAATGTATTTGGTTGAACTTTTTTTTCCTCGCAACTCTTGAAAATATTCATTTTAAAACAAAACACAACTCTTGATAATCTATCAATATACCTTTTCAGATTACTAAAAATAGAACGTTTTACAGATGCAATTCTTTAAGAAAATTTATGTGTTTTTTTCTAATATAGGTATGATTCTTAGTACTCTTGAATATAATGTTTGATTCATTATATAGTTTTAAACGATCTTTAAAAATTTAATGTGGTGTCTGCAAAAATAAATGAAATAGATTTAGTTTCAATGAAACTAAACTACCATATCCAAACCAATCTGGTTGTAAGAAAACAACCTAAATTTTTTTGTGTAATCTCTTATTCTACTTCTGACAAAGTCCATTTTTTTTTGTATTTCTAACCCAGTTTGTATGGAGGTACTAAGCCTCATAAATTTAAAAATGTCGTTCTTTGCATGATAATTACAGTGTTTTAAAACATATTATATTATTTAATTATAAGATTTAAACTGTTCCATCATTTCAACAAATTTTAAAAGTTTGTCTTCTCATATATAAAAAGATAAAAGAAAATGACTGCGACTTTAATATTATAGTTTACTTAATATTGTTATGCTAAACACATAACATTTAAATTTATACATTTTCACACAAATTATATTTTCACTCTTTTATTATATAAGATTATTTTTTAAGTATTGATCTTCGTACAAAATAATTAGTTTATTAAATGATTCAAAATGATTGACTAACAAATATAAATTATAGAAAAAATACTTAAAAAAAAAAACATCTTTTCTCCCGCGCGTTTACGCGCGGGGTGGTTTCCTAGTATATACAAAATGATTCCAAAGAATTGACAAAAAAATGAAGAAGAAGACCGTGCCATGCTATCGAATAATTAAAAAAAAAACTAGAAGCTGAATTTGAAAAATCAGCAAAATAAACCAAAATGGTAGTCGATTTCCCTCAAAACACTCTATATCATTGTGTTTATATATATATATACTAGGTCCGGCCCGCCCTACGGGAGAGATATACTTTATTTGTAATTTGGATTACTATTTTTGTACGATTTTGTGATTTGTGTTTTAAGTTTGCATTTGTAAAGATGTGTATGATAATGATTTTTTTTTTCTTTTAAAAAGTTTTAGGTAGGGCGGAAAATTTATTTGTGATCTAGATTTTATTTTTTTGTATGATTTTGTGGTTTGGTTTTATGTTTGCATTTGTAAAAGATGTGTATGATAATGATTTTTTGTCTTTTAGAAAGTTTTAGGTAAAAAACGATAATATGTGGTAAGATATATTTTATTTGTTTTTACAATAGTTGTTTATACATTAAAGAGTTATGACATTGATATGTTGTGATGGTTTCAAATAATCTATATGATGTTTTTTTTTTAAAAAAGTGATCTCATATTTTATGTCAAAATGGTTTTTTTTTTCTCATATTAATTCTTTTATAGATTAAATACAAAAATTCTTGTTTAATTTCATACACTAACTTTTAGAGTCATCCACCTTGTATATATTAAGTAAAGATTTTCTATGCTCTATAACTATTCAGAAAGTGCAAAATGTTTTTTTTTTAACGACAAAATTTGCTTATATTAATGAAGCAGTGAATGCAAAATGGTTTATATTTTTTCTTTTTAGTTCATTTTTTTTTATCTTTTGTCTTTTACTCTATTTACTCTTAATGTTTTCCACACATATTCTCTTGTTTAATTAGTCTCAAATTATTTTAGTACAAACCAATCATACTCTACATTCATAACTCAACTAAAACTAAAGCCATCTAAAAACACAACTAACAAAAATAGTGTATTTAAATAGTCTTCCATGTTGGTTGTTTTTTTTTATAAAAGTGATTGGTGGGTTACTTGTATTTTATTATGTTTTAGACTCGCAAGTATTGATATGTGGGTTTTATTTTACCAATACCACTATAAGGAAGAAGGGAGAAAAGTCGGGTTAGCGTATTGTGTACAATGGATTTCGAGGAATATTACATTAGGCCGGCATTTTTATTATCCTATATTTGATCATGTAGTGTCAGGTTTTTATGTAGTCCCTTTTTGGTTGTCGATGATTTATGATTCAAACTTTCATAATTATCATACTTAGTGTTTCATTTCTATCTTGCGTCACAATTTGTATAAACAATTCATATCTTCAAGTGTTCGTTTAAGCTTTATAAGATTTAAGTGTTAGCTAAGGCCATTGATTATGGCTGTTTCTATAACTTGTTTGATCTTTAGTGATAGATGCAAAGTAGGTAAACTAATAGTTGTTCTTATTCATTTGTTCGTTATAATGATTTATAAAATAAGATAGAAGGGTTAGTGAAGGTGGAATTATTACGTTTCAGATGCTGAATACAGAGTTATAATGCTGTTGTTTTTTGTTATGTTTGTGATGCATGGTTTTTTGCTCGGAGAAAGCAAAGTGTTTCGTAATGATAAGTAATATTACCAAAATTACTTGTGTTAGAAGGAAACGATTTTATTTGTATTCAGTCACTGTTTGAGTAGTTTAGAATTTGTTATATGCATTTTGACATCCTAATCTTTTTGAGAACATCTGGTTTGTCTTAGATGATATTGTAAGAGTAATCATTTTCTCATTTGTAATTATTGTCTTCCAACATTCTAGTGTTACTGATACTGATAATAATGTGAACTTGCAATTGTTTTTGTACTGATAATATGGTGACTAACAACAAAAACAAAAACAAAAAACTTGCTTCTTTTCTCAGCTTATTAATGAGTATCTCTTTCTTCAAGTTCCTTTTAACTTAGAGCTCTTTTTCTTGCTTTTCACTTTTCTCTGTCATTAAGACTAATTAGCCTCCCAAAGACTCTTCTAAATCAGAATCTTCTTTTTCCTCCTGCAGATCCAGGGATTGTTTCCTTACAGATTTCACCATCAACTCCATCATCTCTTTGTATTCTTTCCACTGAAGGGATAAGTCTAAAGTCCCAGAAACGATCTTTGTCACATGATTCAAGAACTGGTCTACAAAATACTCATCCAATATATCACTAAGTTCAGTCCCATCAAACAAAAACAGTAAGAAACTAAGAAATCAAGAGAAACCAAACATTAGCCCTAAGAGTAAGAGACTTACTGATGTCCAAGAACTTTTCTCTCTCGTGGTGGTGATGTCTCCGGTTCCAAGGTGATCCAGATACTATGTTCTCTCCCTTAAAATGAAGCAAAAAAAAAAATCAAAACTTTAAAACTTTCGACCAAGGAAGAAGAAGAAGAAGCGATAAGGTCTGCTTAAAAAAGAGCTTCCTTTAGCTATACTGAGAGAGAAGAAGAGAGAAAGGTAATCAACAAACCGTCCCAAATTTTCTCATTCAAAGTAGGTTTAATAAAGATATGAACAGCGTTTCAAAAAAAAAAAACGAACACAATAGCTTGATAATTTAAGTTCATAACGCCGGAATAGTTTAAAATACAATGATCATGAGTTTAATGAACAAACCTTTACATCAAGGAAGAGCATGTCTGAACCCAATCAACTCGCCACAGCTTTTCACGTGCCTTCCAGAACCTGAAAAGTCACACCTCGACGGTGAAAGAACATAGGCCACGTTCAGATTAGCAATAAGAACATATGAGTTAACCATTAAACTGAAATTAAACATGGGATTATCACGAATTGTGAATTGATAATGAAGGAATGAATTTTTATCTTTATATAAGTGAAAAACCACCGCCTGGAAGAGGAATAAGCAGAGCATTGAATGTCAGATCGTGCATGATGTGCGTCGATGGAGTAAAGAGGTTTCTTAAAGGTGATCAATCTGGACATCTGGTAACGTCTTGCCGGATAAGAACCAAAAACGAATCGTTATCGTGAAGCTAGACGCCGAGATTCTCAATCGTCATTCCCAAACTTCATTGTTGGTGTGGACATCGAAGAAGAAGAGCCCTAAACAATGACTTAACGAGGAATATATCAAACCATTTCTATCGGACTGGTCCTAAACAATGAAAAAACTAAATAAAAAATAGGAGCAAAGAGAAAACCCACTTATAATATGTGTCAAACGATACAAAACATATTAAGGAATAAACTCAGCATTTTGTAAATGGACATGTGTTGCACTAACGTTGAGTGAATTTTTGAGCTGGCAGTCTATAAAGAGGGAAGATCCTTCTCTATATATAGAGATAGATAGATCATTTTTTTTCCTCGTTAGAAGGCAATATTTTTTTTTGCTGCTCACATTTTTGGATGCAGGGCAGGAAAGGTGATGTTCCCACATTTTCCTCCTAAACAACTTCTTCAAGAACCCTAATTCTTCTTCCTTGGCACCATCTCCATCTTCTCAGCGTTAGATAAGTGAAATTGTATTGAAGTAGTTATTTGTGTTATTGATTATGAAGGCAAGAGCCAATGTATATATACAGCAGTCAGATCCTACGTAGATAAGGACTATGAAATAAGTACATCATTATCTAGATAAATATAGGAGTTATCTCCAATACTCCCCCTCAAGTTGGAAGTGTGAGATTTCAAACTGCCAACTTGGATAGTATACTCTCAAACAACGGTCGCGGTAGAGGCTTAGTAAGAATGTCCGCCAGCTGATTCTTCGACGTAACATGTTCCGTTTTGATAAGTTTGGACTTGATAGCATCGCGAACATGATGACAGTCCCTTTCGACGTGTTTGGTGCGTTCATGAAAGACAGGATTGGCAGCAATATAGAGAGCTGACTTACTGTCACAGTAGAGCTTCATAGGTCGAGATGGAGGAAGACCAAAGGAGTCGAAAAGTTCTTTGAACCATTTCAGTTCTTTAACAGCCACTGACATGGCCCGATATTCTGATTCTGCGGAGGAGAGAGATACAGTGTCTTGCTTCTTTGTTTGCCAAGTCACTGGAGTAGTACCAAGGAAGGTGATATAGGCGCTAAGAGATCTTCGACTAACTGGACAGGCGCCCCAATCGGCGTCACAGTAAATACTTATGTCAAGAGAGTCATCGGCTTTAAGAAATATTCCCTGACCAGCTGTGCCTTTGAGATAGCGAACGACCTTTAGAGCAGCTTCCCAATGTGGTAAGAGAGGTTTCTGCATGAATTGAGCTAGAATGTGAATAGAATATCCAAGGTCCGGACGCGTATTAGTGAGATATATCAAGCGCCCAATGAGACGACGGTATTGAGCAGCGTTTGCCAAAGGACCTTCTGCACTAGCAAGTTGGTGATTAAGTTCCATGGGAACTGGAGAGGGTTTGGCGCCAAGTAAGCCAGTTTCAGAAATAATATCCAGAGCATATTTCCGCTGCGATAAGTAAAAACCTGAGGCATTGCGAGCAACCTCAAAGCCAAGAAAGAACTTCAGTTTCCCAAGGTCCTTCATACGGAAACATCTCTGAAGATATCTTTGAACTCCTGCAGCGCATCATTACAAGCAATGATAAAGTCATCGACGTATACCAAAATGTGCAGACAAATAGACCCACGAACTTTGGAGAATAGGGAGTTATCGGCATATTCATGAGAGAAACCAAACTTTTCCAATGCAGTCGTAAGTTTAGAGTACCAGCACCGTAGGGCCTGGCGTAAACCATAGAGAGATTTCTTTAAACGACAAACCATGCGAGGGTCAGATGCCTTAAACCCCCGAGGAAGCCGCATATAAATTTCTTCATCCAGATCGCCATGAAGAAACGCATTACTAACATCCATTTGATCCACAAGCCAGTTCTTGGTTGCAGCAATCTTTAGTATGATCCGGACAGTTGACATCTTTGCAACTGGTGCGAATGTATCTGTAAAATCTTCGCCTTCAACTTGATTATTTCCACAGACAACTAGTCGAGCTTTAGGTCTTTCAATAGTTCCATCGGCTTTGTATTTGTACGAGTACAGCCACTGATTACGAAGTGCAGTCTTTCCCGGTAGTAAGGGAGTGACGTCCCATGTATTATTAGCTTCAAAGGCATCCACCTCGGTATGCATTGCATCTGTCCAAAGTTTATGTTTGACAGCTTCTTTGAAATTCTTTGGGACTTCATCAGTGATAAGAGCAGCCATAAACACCTTATGTGAGTCTGAAAATAAATGATCAGATATATAGCTGGAAATAGGGTAGGGTGTGTTACCTATGACCGTTAGTGGAGACCCATGATCAGACGCGAAGTGAGAGTGAGGGGGGTGTATGGTAGCAGAGTGAGTCACATAGTCTCTTAACAACACCGACGGTGTTCTCAGGAATTCCAGGAGAGAGAGCTTGAGTTTCTTCAGGCGTAACTGTAGGTACAGACGGTGGCGAGCTAGGCGTATCATCAGCAGATCGGTTCGAGTTTATTAGTTCTGTCGTAGAAGGAACAGAGGACACAGGTACTGGTAACGAAGAAGACGTAGTTGCAGGTTCAGTAGCAGGAGAAGCAGAGGTTGGTGATGACACACTCCCCCTGAAACCCGGCGAGGGTAGAAGCCAGTCATCAATAGTAGGATCCAACGCGTTCAAAGGAGGTGTAACATACTCGTCATTATTAACACCAGGGAATTTAGTCTCCGAGAAGACAACATCCCTACTTTCAAAGAACTCATTTGTATTAAGGTCATACAGTCTCCAAGCTTTCTTTCCATATGGGTACCCAACAAAGAGGCACTTCCTGCTGCGATCACCAAACTTATCCTTGTCTCGTGATTTGCGATGAGAATAACACAAGCATCCAAATACGCGAAGCTTATCATAATCCGGTTTCTTTCCAAAGAGGAGCTCATATGGTGTGCGTCCGTGTAGTAGTTGAGACGGTGTACGATTGATGAGATGTGCTGCTGCTAGAATACTCTCTCCCCAGAACGACACTAGCAACCGAGCTTGAAAGAGACATGCACGCGCAACATTTAAGATATGTCTATGTTTACGCTCAACTCGGCCATTCTGTTGAGGAGTATCCACACATGAAGTTTGATGCTCAATCCCATGATTCTTGAAGTATGACGTGAGAACCATAAACTCGGACCCATTATCTGTCCGGATAGCTTTAACTGATTTGCCAAACTGTCTTTCAGATAAAGCAATAAACTCACGAAGTAGATTAGAGACTTCAGATTTTTCCAACATCAAGTAAGTCCAGACAGCTCTAGAGTAATCATCAACTATAGTAAGAAAGTATCGTGAACCAGAAGAGGAAGAAACCCGATAAGGACCCCAAACATCGCAATGTAGTAAAGAAAAAGGCTCAACTGCTTTATTAGAACTTTCAGGAAAAACTTGACGAGTTTGTTTAGCACGAAAACAAATTTCACAAGACGCAGCTTGTTCAGAATCAAAAACCAAACGATCTAAAATAGGTAATGATGACAAAATCCGATAAGAAGGGTGCCCTAGCCGTCGATTCCATAGTTCTGAAGTTGATGAATTCTTGACCTCAGTACGATGAACCTGTGCAGCCATGACCCCTGTGAAGTAATACACCCCCTCACGTTCTTCACCCGTTCCAATCAGGTTCTTCGTAAAACGGTCCTGCAAAACACATAAGGTATCAGTAAAAATAGCAATGCAGCCGGTCTGTTTGAGTAATCGTGACACTGAGATAAGCGTGCAGTTAAAATCCGGCACATAAAGAACATCAGATAAGTAGTAATCTGTGCTCAGAACAAGCGTGCCCTTCTTCTTTGCTTGGGAAAATCTCCCATTAGGAAATTTGACCGACGAGGGAATGATGTCTGTAACATCACTCAGAAGAGATAGATTTCCCGTCATGTGATGCGATGCACCAGTATCTATAATAACATCTGCAATAGTTGGTTTACCAGATAGTTTCTCAGTTTAAATTGTTGATTTGGTATTCTGTAGTTGCTGAAGAAGCTGAGTGATTTGAGCAATAGGATCAGCAGTCGTAGGGGATTTCATAATGGTATTATTAGACGTTACTCTAGTTGAGTTAGAACGTCCACGACCACGATTGCCATAAGTAGAAGAACGACCTCCTCTCCCTCGCTGAGAAGAACCACGACCAGTAGATGTGTTCCGTTGTTCAATCCACCAATCTGGGTATCCATGAAGAAGAAAACACTCAGTGTTATCATGACCTGTACGAGAGCAGTGGGTACAGGAGCGATTAGGGTCTCGAGGTTTAAACGAGCTAGCCAGTGCTTGTTGTGAATCGGTTTTAGAGAGTTCAGTTTGCACGGTAAAACCAATAGCATCAGGTTTCAGTTCCTCTGACCGTACAGTATTGTTGTGTTGCTCTTCGCGTATGATTCTGGAGTAGACATTGTTGATATCTGGTAGAGGATCTTCATTAATAATTTGAGACCTTATGTTTCGGATCCGGGAATCATCAAGGCCAAACAAAAACTTATGAACTCGAATTTCTTCACGTTCTTTTTCAATGTCTGCAGAAGCGTCACAAGTACACGCCCTAGTAGTCTTGATGTTGTCGAGTTCTTCCCATAATTTTGTAAGACGTCCATAGTAATCAATTACTATCTGCCCTTGCTGCTGACATGTATTTATTTCATCACGTAGTTGATG